GCTGTAACAAAACAGCAACTTGATACTAAACTATCACTATCTGGTGGATTAATGACCGGCAATTTGGATATGAATAGCAATAGGATATACAATGTAGCACAACCAGATGGTGATAATCAACCAGCTACAAAATTTTGGTCAGAAAATAAATTCCTGGATAAGTCCAGTGGAGTCATGGCTGGAACACTAAATATGTCTAATAATAAAATCACTCATCTTGCCAAACCAACTGATGATAAAGATGGGTCAATAAGAAATACATAGATGATAATTATTTGAAACTGTCCGGTGGCACTATGACTGGTCATATAATATTAAACAATGCTGTTCTTACTTCACAATATCAAGCAATAAACCGAAGCACTGGAAATGCATTTTTTGTACAAATTACTAGTCCGTATGTTTACCACCAATTCGATATGGTCAAAAACAAGATTATTAATCTTGGAGACCCGACTGATGCTACTGATGCTGTTGATAAACAGTATTTAGAAAAATCACATGTTAAACCCAGCCATTACAATAATGAATTCAAGTATCTAATGACTAATAGATTAGCATGGACTGATCTCGAACCGAATAACATCGATAGTTTTGACATTACTAAAATTGATAATTTAATGCCCCGAGATGGTAACTACCATCAATACAACCACAAAGTTCTATATACAACCATTATAAAAGATAAGCAAGGAGGATACTCTTATGGAATGGGAATCAATTGTTATCAACTTAATAAGGATAAAGATTATACTCTTTGTATTGAAATCCTCAATTCAGATTACCAGTTATGGCATAAATCAGTTGCTACAATTAATAAAACCACATCAAAGGGGGTATCAGTTGCTGGTTTTACAGTACAAAAGTTTTCTCACCAGTACACAAATAGTAGTGGAAACACTGCATATATGTATTATAACAAAATAATTGTAAACTTTGAAAAAACTGTATCAGGTATATTTTACAGTCTGGATCTTTACGTTAATATACCTCAGACAGGCATTGATCTCAAAACCTATCCAAAAAATTGGACAAATAACTGGATGATTGCTTATGGTGTTTTCGGGAAAGTGTCATCGATCCCCCAAAAGACACATGGTTATCATACGGCATTTGATATTAAACCGACTGAAGTTGTTTACAATGTTGATCTGGATATGAACGGAAAGAAGATACTGAATATAGCGCCAGATAAAAGGAAGAATAATTCGGCTGCCACTGTAAAGATGGTCAAAGATTTGGAGACAAAATTGAGCCCTTATACAAAGAATAATGTGTACAGGGAAATATTTGAGGAATTTTATGATTTAAGCGATGCTAGTAACTATAAAATAACAATAGGAGTATCAGGTATCATGGTTTCAGGCATCCAACCTAACATTTATTTTCCTAGAATGGATATTGCTAATATTTGGGAGGGCGGATTGAGGATACAAAATACCACATTAAGTTTGGAATTATTCAGTAAAAGGAGCTTTACTCTTTGTGTTGTTATGCAGCTGTGGCTGAACAGATCCTTTAGTATAAAAACATTTATGAGTAATAGAGCTTATGAAAAACCACATTTGATTTATGACAAAACAACAAAGAAATTAAAACTGCCAGCTAATGGTCATGGAGCTGGGTCAACTAATGAAACTTCAATCACATTACTAAACAGTTTCAATGGTAAACGAGTTGCGTTTTGGTTGACTAAGAAAGGTACAGGGGGTGACTTAACAGCAAAAGCATCAATTAGTAATTATAGTGGAACACTAACACTAAGTTCAACTTTAGCATCTCAGAGTAACTACACATTCAGAATATTCTCAGAAGATACAGTGATCTATAGAGTAATGTACACTACAAACTTTCATGACTTCGATTCCAGTGAATTTCATAGAATAATGTTGCAGGAAAAATTAAACGGTTCTTATGTTCTGTAATTTGTCTAAACTAATAATATAATGAGTCAATAAGAAAACATATTCTGCTTTAATCACATCGATAAAAGTAAAACAAAAAAACGAAATACAGGAAATCAAAGAATTGTACAAGTATTATCATTTTAAGTTCTGGGTTTATCAAAAGGCCCATAAATATTTTAAGAAGCTGAATCTCTTATTGAACATGACATCGACTGGCCTTATAGCAGCCAGCCCAGCCATTATAGGAAGCATATCAGGTGCTGGTTTAGCGCTAAAAACATTCTCTGAGACGAAAGACTACAAGAAAAAAATAGAATTGTCTAAATTTTGTTACACGACTAACAGTAAAGTATTAGTCGAGTTGAGTACTTCGCTGCGAGGGGCTACCTTTGATAAAGACGACTTCTTTAAAGGAAACGACAGACCTCGATGAAACAATTGTCGATTTCGGCCCATTAGTGACAAGATTTGAAAAGCAGTACGCTAAAAGGTTCCTCTCCTATCCAACAGAAACCGTAAAACAAAATGGCGAACGGTTTGAGACAACAACCTCGTCTCCAGGGCCCTCTCACTAAATGAGTAAAATCTATTTCCGGTTAGGGGCTTTCACTAGTTCCGGTCTAAATTCTGAGAAACCAGCCGGTCAACATCAGTCTTGATTAGACCATAAACTTTCTCCCACCAAACTTCATAATATCGTAGTGTATTTTTTATCCGAGTACGAGGAATAATCTTGTATTCTACTCCCAAAATATCAAACAATTGTTTAATGATAAAGTTTACACTAATAAGCCTTTTTCGAACACCTAGTTGATGGGTAACATTATCAATTAGTTGGAATATTCGTAGTATACACTCTCTATTATAGTAGCCAATTTGAATGCCGTCTGTTTGTGCGATATTATCCATGATATTTATGATATGATATTTTCTATGATATACAGGCTTTCTTTTTATGCTATATCTATTCTCATAAAAATCCACATACTCGTCTGCTGTTAAATAATCATGTACTTGGCCACAATTCTTACACACAAGAAGGTTATCCTATATCAGTTTCTATTTCTCTTTTGTTCAGGGACGCACGCGCCGTGCAAATGCTGCTCACTGCGTCAAGACAAATTATGCCCGTACTTCCCTTTTCAGAGATTACTTTTTCAATAGAATTACGATAATATGGAATGGTATTCCTGAAGATATCAAAGTAGCAACTACACTATGCTCTTTCAAACGCCAACTCAAATCTTTTTACTTTAAGCGATTATATGTTTTTGATGGCGACAATGTACGTTCTTTCAAGATTATTTGTCCCAAGTGTCGAATCACATGTTAAACCCAGCCATTACAATAATGAATTCAAGTATCTAATGACTAATAGATTAGCATGGACTGATCTCGAACCGAATAACATCGATAGTTTTGACATTACTAAAATTGATAATTTAATGCCCCGAGATGGTAACTACCATCAATACAACCACAAAGTTCTATATACAACCATTATAAAAGATAAGCAAGGAGGATACTCTTATGGAATGGGAATCAATTGTTATCAACTTAATAAGGATAAAGATTATACTCTTTGTATTGAAATCCTCAATTCAGATTACCAGTTATGGCATAAATCAGTTGCTACAATTAATAAAACCACATCAAAGGGGGTATCAGTTGCTGGTTTTACAGTACAAAAGTTTTCTCACCAGTACACAAATAGTAGTGGAAACACTGCATATATGTATTATAACAAAATAATTGTAAACTTTGAAAAAACTGTATCAGGTATATTTTACAGTCTGGATCTTTACGTTAATATACCTCAGACAGGCATTGATCTCAAAACCTATCCAAAAAATTGGACAAATAACTGGATGATTGCTTATGGTGTTTTCGGGAAAGTGTCATCGATCCCCCAAAAGACACATGGTTATCATACGGCATTTGATATTAAACCGACTGAAGTTGTTTACAATGTTGATCTGGATATGAACGGAAAGAAGATACTGAATATAGCGCCAGATAAAAGGAAGAATAATTCGGCTGCCACTGTAAAGATGGTCAAAGATTTGGAGACAAAATTGAGCCCTTATACAAAGAATAATGTGTACAGGGAAATATTTGAGGAATTTTATGATTTAAGCGATGCTAGTAACTATAAAATAACAATAGGAGTATCAGGTATCATGGTTTCAGGCATCCAACCTAACATTTATTTTCCTAGAATGGATATTGCTAATATTTGGGAGGGCGGATTGAGGATACAAAATACCACATTAAGTTTGGAATTATTCAGTAAAAGGAGCTTTACTCTTTGTGTTGTTATGCAGCTGTGGCTGAACAGATCCTTTAGTATAAAAACATTTATGAGTAATAGAGCTTATGAAAAACCACATTTGATTTATGACAAAACAACAAAGAAATTAAAACTGCCAGCTAATGGTCATGGAGCTGGGTCAACTAATGAAACTTCAATCACATTACTAAACAGTTTCAATGGTAAACGAGTTGCGTTTTGGTTGACTAAGAAAGGTACAGGGGGTGACTTAACAGCAAAAGCATCAATTAGTAATTATAGTGGAACACTAACACTAAGTTCAACTTTAGCATCTCAGAGTAACTACACATTCAGAATATTCTCAGAAGATACAGTGATCTATAGAGTAATGTACAAGGCTTTCAGCTAATGCTAGTAACCAGATACCCTTGTTAATGATGAGGTAAAAACCCCGCGGCTTCATCATTAACATTGGAAGGGAAAAACGGGAAAATGGGGAAACTCCCTTGTAGACGGTGTCCAGGGCGTTGAGTAGAGCTGTAATTGCACTGAGGACCACTGGTAAGAGGATGCCTAAAAGGCAGAGCGAGGTGCATAGGAGTGCTGGTTCGCCCCCAAACTCGAGAGGGAAAATCAAAAATGAGATAAAATGAGGAAAAGCCCTGTAAATGGCCGGCCTTTGGGTAAACAATAAATAAAACCTTCTCAGGGGGGACTGAGGGGAAATGGGGGGAATGGGGAGGTAGGGGATGGGAAAATGGGAGAGTCCTCCTGATAAGGTCTGGTGGCCACCAGTTTTGTTATTTTTTAATAATCGATTATTAGTTAAAGTTGATTGTCAAGTCATCGACTAACTGTTGTTGCTTTTTTGTGATCTTGGTTAACGCTTCTTCTTTGGATTGTTCATTATAACGTGCTTTTGTAGCGTAGCGCTTACCGTCAATCTTCACGTCGTAATATAGTAGCTTATTCATTGGATCATCTTTGATCTTGATTTTATCACCAAACTTCTGGTGCAGTCGTTCTCGCATTTGATTTTCTGTCTCAATTTGCGCTTGATGTTTGTATTCAATTTTGACTGTCTGTTCTGGGACTGATTGTTTGTTGAGTAAACGGTCCCCATATTTTACACTATAATATCTGATGTATTCGGCTTCCACGCTGTTTAATTCTTGTCGGTCCTTACAAGGTGCGCGTATTATTGGCATAATTATTGGTTCATCATCCTTGTACTTGAATCTTGCACTTGATTTTGTAGTCACATGTTCATTGAGCCGTTCTTGTAGATTTCTGATAGAGCTACCAATATACAATTTATTGTTGTGTTCGAAGGTAATCTTGTAAATTTGACCATTGTGGTAATCATCATTAAAGTAGCTATTTACTGTCACACAGAGCGGTGGCATTCTGATTTTGTATTTAGAGTTCAACTTTGTTGTATCAAGGTGGACATGATTCAGTCCCTTTGTTCTAGATAATGCTGTGTAGAGTTGTTTCTTGTCCATTTTCTCAACATCATAAATATTATATGGGGTGCTTATTGTCCCTCCCTGATATTTATACACTGTAGCACAAAATGATGCTATAAAAGATTCGCGAAATTCACTGTAACTGAATATTGTATCACGTAGTGTAAATACAAGATTGCCATCTTCAGACTCCCCGATATTGTCAATGTTATACTGCTCCATATTAAACATATCTTTATTCCGCATATTTTGTGTTACTATCATTAGCATTCCAACCGCTACCTTATATTTCTCCCTATGTCCTTGATATTTGAAGTCGATCTCATAATATTCCAAGTTTTCTGTAAATCTATTACAGCATTCTTGCGTGACATGCCGCCTTGTTTTGTTCAGATAGCAAATATTATGGTAACTATCCACTGGTGGTTCAAATTGGTGTTTGATACTGCCACTCTTGAGAAACTTGGTTAACAGATCCCGTGTTTGTGGGTCGTATCGAGCATATTCTTCTATATACTTCATTTCAACCCGTCGCGGGCACATCTCAGAAACAACCACTGACTTAACATAATCGTAAAACATATCAGATGGCTCAACGGGATCACACTGGTTAGTATCGCCAAACATGTAAATAGTGAGCTTATATTTAGCGAATGCCTGATAGAGTTTAGTCATCCACTTATTAGGAGTCATGGAATATTCGTCCACAAATATTGTTTTGCCCTCTAGTGCTGTTATGTCACGCCCGTGATGATCACAAAAGAACAGATCAAATGTATAACACTTCTTGGTCAACTCATAATTATTGTACACATCACATAGTACCGGTTTACATTCTGGATAGCCTTATTAGTAAATGATAGGATTATGGGGTCATCAGCTGCTAGTGCCTTTTGGCATAATCGATATGTTTTACCACATCCGGCGCCGCCATAATAAATAGCACCGTCTCCCCCATAATCAATGTAATTATCAGGATTAAAATTCTCCCTGTAATGTTTTTCGAAATATACAGCCGGGCTATCAGTTTGAAATATTTGTCCGATACTATCTGTTGTAAACTTGACATCTTTTTTGTTGGGGTATTGGTTTTTAGGATTAGTCATAAATACACCATCAGTATTGATTGCATACACTTGACTGATTCCCTTGCCATCATTATCGTGACTCGCATTGTCGTGTAGCATGTTCAGGCATTTCAGTATAGACTGAGAGATAACAAAACGGTTGATTGATGTATTGTCAGAAAATATGCGCTTAATTTGACGCTCTCTTATTACATACAGTTCTTGTTTAGTGTTTGGATTCTGATAACTGTCAGTAACAACATAACGATTCTCAGCAAGAGCAGATGTCCAGATGCACTGTGCTGTATCGAGTGAACTACATGTAAATCCGTGGTCTTTGCGGTTATATTTCCTACCCAGTTCGCCGATGTAACTGTTTGCTAGTAATTTGGCCTGAGATTCTGGAAACATTGAAAAGATTGCTAACATGTAATTCTTAAATGTGTCTGGAGTTAATGTTTTTCGTGCTTGGATATACCATTTGACATTGGATACGGGCATTTTAAACTTTGTGATCAATGCTTGTACTAATTGTTTACTATAAAAACCAGCCTCTATTTTGATACCTTTTCCTAGTCGTTTGTCAATGACATATTCATCGATATAGTATTCGCCAATCTTAAATACCCCACCAAAGGGCTTGATAATATCGTGAATTGTGTATAACGGAATGGGCTGGTCATTGTCGATCAGTATAGAAGGATAACATTTGAGATATCCAATGACACTAGATTATCAGGTACTGTGTCAGTTGAACACCACTGTAGTGCTCGAGGATAGAAATCATCTAATACTTCTCGTGTTTTGGTGTCATATTGTGATTCCGGAAGATATCCTCTTATTTGTGCTTAAATAATGAGGTTGCCAGTGAAGTGTATGATTGATTGCACCATACGAAGTCATAAGATTTATATATTTTGTATAACCGCTCACAGGTTGATTTACGGGTTTCATATTCGTTGTTAAGAACGTACATGTTATTCTTGTGATCCATAAAGCCATCTAATCTGCCATTATTATCGTAATGTAAATACTCGACAAAATAATTAGTCCTGATCATATACTCTTCAATTATGGGTTCTATTTTTGTGTCTGGCGGTAACACAATTACATGTTTCTCGATTGTAGACAATGTTAGTTTGTGAGATTTACTATCTTCTTGTTTGATGATAATAGCATCACCATTGTCAATAAGTTGTTGATACATAATGTAATTACTCGATTTATTGGACCATTTCATGTCTGTCATATACTTCCATAAATTGTCGGCGCCGCCTTGGTTAGCTTTTGTAGCGATCTGTTTGAGGCGATCATCTTGAATGGGATACAGATGATGGCCCTTGATATAAAATACGAGACTCACATCTTTTGTTGTGCTAGCAATATGTTTCATAAATTTCCTCCACGTTGAGTCATAAGCGTGGATCGATACATTTGAATGACACCCTTTAGACCAATCAATTAACTCTTGTGTTGACATCATTGGAAAACTGGCTGACCCATAAACTTCCATCTCATCATATAATTTTTGATACGTATATTTCTGAAAACCCTTCTTACCCTTGCAGTTATGCCAGACAAAATCAACCATACAAGTATTAACGCCCCGTTGTTTGATCTGAAACTGCTTATCTAAGAAGAATGTATTTAATTTTAGAGCACCGGCTATATGATCTTTGAAAAACTGCTCATTATGTGTAGTTATAGTAGCTCCAATTTCGGCTATAGTTTTTGTCGATAAGACTGTAAAGTTGTTTTGGAGCAATGTATACATTAAGAATTTGTACATATCAGGTTCACTTAATTTTTGGACTTCCATTTTAAACGGACCATATGTCTTATCAATAAACTCGGTTCTGTTTCCAATTGTATGTTCAATAACAGTGCTTATCGTAATTTGTGCTCGCTCTCGTTTACCAGGCATCTGTTCTAGTCTTTCGTGAAACAAGTTTTGAAATGATGATTGTTTTTTATATTTTGATACTCTAGCACGCTTCAATTCCTCATCCCGCATATCTTGCAGCGAAACAGGTTTTTTATCTAATCTAATAGTACGAGCTTGTTTATCAGACAGTTCCTCAAAATATTTGATTTTGTCCTCAACCAATGCATTTGCTGCCAAAGTTTTCAATGTTGGCAATTTATTGGACTGTTTTGGTAGCACGGCTAGTCGTTTTAATGATTGTTCTAATTTTTCAGCCGCTAGTTGTGTAAGTGATTTAGGCTTGAAGACTGGTCCTACCCGATTGGCGCTCTCAGTCTGATTAACTGGTCCTGCCTTTTTGGCGCTCGCGGTTTGTTTTCCCAAAAGCATATTGATTAATTGATCCTTAGACATTTTCAATAGATCTTCCCTATTCATACTATTAGGGTAGATAATTTTATTTGCAACGATTTTCTTACTCAAATTCATATACTATATTATATCGCCCTATCTTTAAATAGAAATCAGATTTGTCAATTAATCAGCAAAAATAACCAGTCTGAACCGTCCCAAACCGGTATCAAAAATGCTGACATCAGCAAGAATCCCAAAATCTGTACTGGGTGTGAAAAACGGGTACCACAGCCATCGTAGTCCTTGGGTCATTGCCAAATAACAATAATAAAGTATGTTGACACGGCAAGAGATTTAGGCATTGTTCTAACGAAAGAGACCTTCTTTTTGCCTGTAAACGCAAATAGGGACCTTAAGCATCGACAACGAAACTGACGACGACGACGCTTCGCCAAGGGCCAAGGGTTTCGTTTTCGGCGGGGAAAACGAAGTTTAAGCAATTCAGCTTCCCAGATTGACGACGACTTTTTCCTTGCGAAGAAGTNCTTCCCAGATTGACGACGACTTTTTCCTTGCGAAGAAGTTTGTCTTGTTACAGTCTTGTTATGGCATTCAAAGACCTCCGTAGTTTGTATCTTATAAACGATGGTTTAATCGGACGGTGGCAAATTTATTGTCCTTTACGACCAGTATTATTCGATTGTGGAGGCTTTCTCTTCGTCGCGCAGCTGTTGTTTTTATTTTAAAGTTAAAGTGAATACCGATCTCGAACAGCTCTGGACTTGCAGTTACTCTAAATTTCGGCTGCTGAAGAGAATTCAATGCTGCTGCAATGTTCTCCCATATTTGTCCTCTCTCAGGGCTCCTCATAACCAAATCCTGTTCCGGAGTCCACTGAAAAAGGTTATCTTTACCAGCGGCTAAAACCAACATGGGAAAATATTGAATTTTAGTACGAAAAAAATGAACATTTATCATAGTACAACCTAAAATGCACAAGTAATCATAGACCGTCAAGGAACAAACAGCATCTAATCTCGCAGGTTCGGAAGATACCAGAGGAAAGCTTACTTGTCTTTCCGACTGACTGATGCGCTATCACTCAGGGCCGAGTTGTTTAAGGCTGGGTTAAGATAACCCAGGGTTAGTGCAGGCTTTGAACTCAGATTTGAAAGCTCAAAAAGCATTTCAGTTTTAATTATTTTTGTCTACAAGTTGATGATTGGAACTCTAAAAATAACAGAGAACATTATTCGAGTAAATGCTTTTGAGCACAAGAAAAAGAAGCTCGGGTTTAATTTAACCCCAGGTTAAGCGTTAATCGGCCTTCGAACAACTGGGCCCAGGTTTCAAACCGAACCTGAAAAATAAGTTCAAGTTAGCAGGCGAAGAAATCATCAAAGCGCTTAACATTTGGATTCTCTTAATTCAGAAAGAATAATATATTTCTACTTGTACTGAATAAAAATTTGGAAAAAGAGTGAGTTACACGCAAAAAGTATAGTTTTATACTTACGTGTTAGCGAAAACGGCAAACCTCCCTGAATTTCGTCGTCGACGAAGGCTGGACAACGTATTAACAGCCTGGCGCATGCCCAAAGGGGGGAAACGCGGGAAAATTTCACTTCCGGTCGGCGTCGTCGTCCCATTTCGTCGTCGATGCTTCAGGTCCCTAATACCGTTGTTCAACGGATGACTTCAGGTCGGGTAAATGAAGGGCAGTGATTATGGTGAGACGTTTACATGGCTTTTGTTCTTATTGAGCAATAACACTAGCCTTCATAAGGGTAGCAGACCTATCTGAAGTTATGGAGCATGTAAGTTGGACGACAAGTCATACTGCCTTGTATCTGTTGTATCAGTTGGTTAAGGTGTTCATCCCTGACAGTGCCACACCTTCTCTGAGGAATAATAGTCGTGGTACCCTGACAGGATGTAGATCACTACGCCTGTCCAACCACTGGGCAAAACTTCCATCAATCGGTGATATTCACATTGAGAAAAATCTTAGATTGCTGGGTCACGTGCATAGGATGAATAATAACAGACTACCGAAGAAGCTGTTATACTTTCAACTGTGTTTGGCAATGCGTAATCAATGGAGGCCTAGATTAAGGTTCAAATATTTTGCTAAGAGAAACATGAATTGGAGAGACATCGATCTCAACCGATGGCTCGAGAGGGCCAACGACAGACCTACCTGGAGGAGACTTATAAAACTGTGCTGAGCTCTAGAACAGTCTTAATCGAAACGACTGACTGTGATCATGATGAGTGGAATGTTCGCTTACATAAAAACTGTTGTGTGTTAAGGAAAGGGTTAATATTCGTTAATGCTAAAACATTTA